TATTCAATTTGACCCCAAATGAGTGAGTAAAAACTCAGCAGGAAGATATTTACAGAAGTCAAACACTGTTTTCCCAAACACTTCTATATAGGCTGGAAATGTTTTTACAACCGCAGCTATCACCATCTGGTGGCCTTCATATTAAATAGCTCTCTTCCCCAGCATGTCTTTTGTCCTGTCTCCCTCCCCTCACCCCCAACTGGTCGCGACAGATAGCTGACCCTCCCTGAGCCTGGCTCTGCTGGAGGTTTCTTCCTGTTAAAAGGGAGTTTTTCCTTCTTACTGTCGCTAAGTGCTTGTTCATAGGAGGTGCTCTGATTGTAGGGGTGTTGTCTGTATTACTGTTAGATCTTTATCCTACAATATAAAGCACCCAGGATACTGTTGTTGTGATTTGGCACTTTATAAAAAAAAAGAAAGAAAGAAATCGAATTGAAAGCAGGTTTAAGGCACTTACGCTTTAGCCTTACTTTTCCAATCCAGAAGCTTCATCCATGTTTTATCATGTGCACGGTCCTGTGTAGAAATAAGCTGAATGCATTGGAGACCTTTGAAGAGCAGCTGCCATCTCCATGTCATCTGACTGTTCACCGTATTTAAGTGCAGCTGTTTAAAACGCCTAAAAGGCATTGGGTCATTTCTTCTAGGTTGATTTGAGAATATCCCAAACTTTACTACCACTGAACTTGTCTGAGGTTTTCTAAAATGTTGGAAACCCCACACCTTCCCTGGTTGTAAGAAAGGGAACATGTTCTGCATGTTCTGTAACTGATGATAATGCATTCACACCCACTCAAGGAAAGAGGCAAACACTCAACATTTTGATTTCTATATCTCTTTTCCACTTGTCACTCCATAATTGTGTCCATTTCTGTGCCTATAACTAAGAGAAATACTAACTTTATCTCCTTCCTGGAGAGAAAAAGAGAATGTTTAAAGAAAAAGTCCTACATGAGAAAAGTGCGCAAGGTAGAAAGACTGAAGGGAGAAGGGTAAAAAGTGACATTACTGGGCGGCTCTGGCAGCCAACACTCTCTGCTGGCTATGCAGGAATGTAACACACACACATACACAGGAAACAAAGTATAAACATTGGTGTGTGTGTGTGGTCAGTTTTAAGCTAAGGCACATAAAGTTATGTGCATGCAAAGGGAGGAGACACAGAAAAGGAGGTTTGTGCACGTTGCATCCAGTAGTGTTATTTATACACACATATACAGAGATGAATGCCGTACACAAACACACAATACCGTGGGCACAGAAAGTGTGTCGCCTTGGCATTTCCTGCCTTTCAAAGACATCCGTGCCCACAGTTGCTGCATGGTCCCATTTTTAAGCCATTTAGTATGTTTGATTTAGGTTACTCCTGACAAATAAAGGCAGCCAGTCTTTCTGAGAAACCGCAGAAAGTAGGGTCACAAAATGGCTCCTCGGGGATAAAACTTTTCTCATCTGCTCATTTCCTTCCTTCCATTCAGACAAAGCTGTATTTTGTTGCTTCTGATGTTCGATTACACGCTTTTCCTTTGTTTTATGTTCTGAGAAAACGCCTCCAGTGTTCCCTTAATGTGTTTAGTGTCAGTGACAACCATGACAAGTCTGAGTCTGAGTGTTACATATAGATTATATAGCATGTTTCAAACAAGGACAGCATTCAAACGACTTTAGATGAGATGTACATTTCGAACAATATTTAAAACAAATTATTAATAACAAAGAAATTGAGGGTGGTCGGATTAAGCATATGTTAAAATGACAGCAGAGTTATTTAAATACGACTCGTGATTGGCTAAAGGCTTAAATGACAAATCGTCACAACATCATAGTTAAAATATATTCAAAAACCAACTTTACATCTATGGCACAGTCTTTTAGTTGAGTCGTTCAGCATTGTGTCATTTCAACCAAAGGAAGTATTTCATTAGCCTTTATCATCAGGTGTAAAGGGGAGAAGACGCACTTGCTGTTCCTTCATGTTGTCAGTGGGGGCGCCTGCTCTGCTCTGAGACGTCTGACTTCACATGTCTTTGCACTGAGATCATATGTCATTTGAGGGGACTTTAGTCATCTAGGTGTGGATTGCTCTCTCGGAGAAGGAAGGAGAAATTTTTGTTTTCTCAGATTTTTGTCCCACTTGTTTGCATATTAACGGTTATGAAGGCCATGTTAAGTTCACGACGATAAATCATCATCATCTTTTACGTTGAAAGCTGTCATCAGGAGGGATTTTAAAAAACCCTGATGTTACCCTGCAATCAGCAAGTACACAACTGAGACGTTATAAATGTAGGGATTTGCTTGTTGAAATGCTGCTACTGATGATGATCTTGTGGTATCATTGGTTTCTTTAAAATTACGTATTGAGGTGCAGAGGATTTGCGTTTCCAAACCGGGCGTAGCGTGAGCGACATTGGGATGATACTATTCAAGCCCTGCTGGGGGTTAACTGAAGCCGATTAAACAAACAAGATAATAACTGTATAATGGGCAACCTCTGACTGAAAAAGCAGTGTATCAGTAACAGATATCGTGTTTAACAAGTGGGTTGGGTGCTTGTGTGTGTGCACATTTAATCACTCTAGATTGTATCAGCTTTTCGAGTAATTGCTTTACTGGAATTTTAGGTCATTTTTTCTGCATGACAAATGAAATCATGACTGTTCAGAAATGCAAGACTTACATTAGAAACCTAAGCAAAGAAAGGCACTAATTTTTTCCCCACTACTTTCACATCTTTTCTTTATCTCCATCCTCCTTGGCATAGATAATTATGGAGAAACATTCTACCACTTCTTGAGATAATTGGTTTTTTTGTCTTTGCTGGAGAGTTATCTTGTGTCACCTATCTGTCTATAATACTCCAGAGCTATTATAACCATTGAACATTGGGTTTAGGTCAGTTCAGTTAATCTTTTTTCCATCTTGCGAGGTGCTGCGAGTGTCCTTAGGCTCATTGTCATGTTGGATCTTTTGCCAGGCTACTGGTCAGTGTTCTTGTACATCCTCAGGTATTCACAGTGCCGTTTACAGATGTAAAAAAGTGTCAGGGCCACTCCCAGTTTTCATCATTATTTTTTTCTCGTGTTCTTTAGGCAGTTTTTTTTCTCTCTTAAACGCCATCCTTAAAAGTTAATATCATGCAGCGTCAATGTCACAGAAACTCTGATATTCAATGATAAGCCCAGTGCCAAGTCTGAAACACGTGCCCATGTCTTGTAAAGACTTAGGAGTGCAAACACTGTCTGTGACATCACTTTAAAATAGAATAGAAAAGAATAGGATAGAATTCAACTTTGTCATTGCACATGTCACAAGTACAAGGTAACGAAATGCAGTTGGCATATTGACCAAGGCAGACGCCCTTAGTGAATCTCTGGCTTGTTCTGTACTCCAGCTACTGCTGCAACTGATTTTTAGATTGTCTGGCCAAGGGACCAGTGAGCACTCACAAAAATTCCCACTCCTCCTACAGGATTGGTCAGAATTCAATCACACCTACACACAATGATCATGGGTCTGAAATGAAACTTTGCTCAAGGTCAAGCTCGTATGTGTTGTTTTATGGGCAGTAACCTGTGAAATGTGAAGTGGATGAGCTGCGATATCACTGATATTCTGGTTAGTTGGTCCTCGTGTTTCCCTTTTCATCTTTAAAGTCTCGCACTGGGATTTTTTCCAGTATCATAGGATCCCCATAGGTCATAAATTGAGAAAGTTCAGGTCATTCTCTAACTGCCTTTATGCATTAAAGCAAATTGTCAGCCATTCATGTGTATAGTTTTCTTTCATTTATTAAATAGTTTGTGCACAGGGTCAGTGACCACAGGTCTGTTTGATTTTACTGCATTACGTTTCTACACTGGGCCCTGGATTCTGAGTAATGTTATTTAAGGAAACACTCTGTTCCAGCTTAGATGTGAGGTGATGCAGTTTGGAATCTTTAATTCAATCATTGTGGGTTTCTACCCTCTAAATCAAAGTCTGAGCAGAGAACCATTTAAGAAGTCCCGCTTGAATGTGATAGAAGAACCAAGAGAATGATTGGCATTGTTGCCATAGACTGGAGCAGAATTCTCTGCTTGTTCCCTCCTCCGCATTTTTCCTGCAGTGTCTCAATTGTAAATTACACGGCAACTGATGAATAGAAAATGCCAAAGTGGTTAACCAGCATTTTTCACATTGGTGACCTACATACCGTTGGCTTTTATAGTGACCCACCTGTCTGAGCACACGTCTCCAGGCCTGGGATTAACTCTGCGCGCCCCACCTGTGAGGAAGGGAGAAAAGCCAGGAAAAAAAGGTTTTAAATGAAAAAGGTGACATATGTCATAACAGCCAGTCTTATTCAAATGTAATTTTTAAACCAACAGAAATAAACCAAACCTGGGTAGGAAGACCAAACGAACTCTAAGATGTAAAATATGACGTTGTAGTATAAAATAGTGGTAAGAGATGTAAGGGTTATTCAGCTGGTTTGAAATGAAACTGAGGCATACATAAACTGTATTAGAAGACATTCTTACTGGTCATTCCCAGTGAAGCAGCTCTGTTAGTGCCTCTGAACACAGGACCACACCCTGCTGCACTGCGACTATGAATCATACACATAAAAAAACTTCCCCAAATACAAATGATCATGCAGCAGAAGGATAAATGTCCAAGTTGAAAGAGTTTTCTTTGAATATGGCAAAGTGTATATTCACTAACAGTCTTTTCATTTCTAAAAATTCAGTTTGTGTGTGTGTCTGTGTGTGTGTGTGAGAAACTGTGTTTGCTTTAAATCTGTCTCACTGAAAAATACAAAAACCAGTAACTAATTTGTGAGTGACTTTCAGCCCCCTACTGTTTTTGCATGTTGTCTGGCAGAGGAAATCACTGGTATGTGACCCTAAGTGGAGAGGATGCAGGTGCTTGAGCACCTACTAGGACTGTTGTGTTTTGTGTGCATGCGTGCGTGTGTGTGCGTGTTTTTAATGTTTTCGTGTCTGCTTTCTTCACAGGAGATGGCGATACGGGCGCTGAAGCAGACGGGCAGCAGGAACATTGAAGCAGCTTTAGAGTACATCAGCAAGATGAGTTACCTCGACCCTCGGAATGAGCTCATCGTTCGTGTCATCAAGCAAACTTCCCCAGGTATGAATACAGCCTCATGTGAGCAAATTGACTTGGCTAGTAGATTTTAGTTTCTCTTCACTACATATATTTAAACGATAACAAAAAGTTCCTCCTGCACCTTCTAGGAAAAGCTGGCATGCCAAATTCAATGGACCACCGGCCTGCATTGGAGGCTTCAGGTGAAGCAGGTGCCATGCCTCCGTATCATCAACTGGGGAATTCTATGTATGACGGGGCAAAAGGTTATGGCCCTGAGGGTGAGATGCCCAGACCATATATGAATGCTCCACCTGTTATGAACTACATGATGCCCCCGTCTGGTGCAGCACAGGTCACTGGAATGGGAAACCCATTGGGTCGGCCTCCCAGTATGGGTACCTATCCATCTGTTATGGCCACCCAGAGCAACCCAGGAAACACTATGTACCCCCCAGGGGCACAGCAGAAGGGCTACCCTGGCAGTATGGAGCAACATGGGCCTATGATGAGCTACAATGTCCCTGGCCAGCCTTTACAGCTCCAGCCACAACCACCAGGTGGCCCTGTCCCAGGCCCACACTATGACTACAGCCATGCCAGGACACACATGATGGAGTCTGCAGGCTATGGAGTCAAGAGGACCCCTTCCTTCCAAAACAAGATGCCACCGCCCCCCATGTCACCCACAGATAATTATGTCAATATGCAAGGGAAAGGAGGCATGGGTCAGAATGGGCCAGCGGGAGGAGGTGGAGGATATCCTGCTAACCTGTACCTCGCCCCTCACTCTCACCCTCGACAGGCCAGCCCCACCTCACACCAAGTCCACATGATGTCCCGTTCTCCAGGTGCTGTGGCCATGGTCCCTGACTTCTCAGATCTGCCCCAGGGCTTGATGACACCTTCTAGGGCCAGCCTCAACTTGGACCTCTATGAGCACCCCTGGGCAGGGCCGCCAGGTCCTGAAGGGGCCCCTCAGTCCAGACAGCCACAGCCCCAGGGCCCATTCAGAGGTGAAGTGCGTGTCCCCAGCAGAACTAACTCCTTTAACAGTCGCTCTGCAGGCCCAAATGCTGTCCGGCCTGGGATGGCTGCACCACCTGCTAATGGGAAACAGGAGCCTTCTTTGGGCCCCCCTAATACCATCACAGCTGTAACATCCCCACCCATCCAACAGCCTGTTAAGAGTATCCGTGTAATGAGGCCAGAACCTAAGACAGCTGTGGGACCATGTCACCCTGGCTGGATGACTGCTCAGGCCCAGGATGCATCAGAGCCTCTGCCCTACATGCCAGAAGAAACATACCCGCTCGAGCCTGCTCAGGAGCCACGCTGTCCACCACCACCCTACCCCAAAAACCTCCTAATGTCTGGGGCGGCAGGTGAGACAGGGGCCCTGGAAGGAGCTGCAGGTGTGTGTGGAGCTCAGGACCTCAACAACCCTGCTGCAAGAAGTACTCACAGTGGCAGCGGAGGGAGTGGAAAGGCTGAGGAGAGCCAGCCAGTGAAAGAGAAGACAAAGATGGGGAAGGGAGAAAAAACAGTGAAAGACAAGAAGCAGATCCAGACATCCCCTGTTCCCGTGAGGAAAAATGGACAAGATGAGGAAAAGAGAGAGTCACGTATCAAAAGCTACTCACCTTTTGCCTTCAAGTTCTACATGGAGCAGCACATAGAGAATGTGATGAAGACCTACCACCAGAAACTCAACCGCAGGCTTCAGCTGGAACAGGAGATGTCCAAGGTAAGACAAGATGAACATTTTTCATCCTGCACTGCATTAGATAAGTAAAATGCAGAATGTATATAATAGAAGCAAATGATTTACTGTGAAGATTAGGCTGTCTTGAACAATCTCTGAGTATTTACAAATTCATTTCAAAGTATATTTAAAGAAACCTAAGCTGATGATAAAAAAATCATAAAAAATCCCATCAGTGTGGTTTGGGAAATGCTCAGGATTCAAGATTGAAGAAAATTTTTAATGCCTAAAAAATGACCAGTAAAGCCTTCAGGTTTTTAGGTGAGAACTATGATGGGCACAGAGAAGTGACGTACAAGAGCTTGTCATGCCAACAATTCTCCCTCAAGACTTTGCTGTAGACAGTAAGATCTTTGTCTCGAAATGACTTCACATTTGTGTTTGATGTGTTTGTCCTGAATCAGAACTTTGACCTCTGCATTTAAAATGTATTTATTTTTTTTGCTGTGACCTAAAGACATGCTTAGAATAGAAAAAAACACCACAGCCAGACCCAGACAGTTAAGTCATGTAATGAGTTAAACAAGCAGTAAAGGTCAAGTCACTGAATTCAGCTCAAGCCTCATTCCTTGGTCATTATTAGTCAGTGTTGAAAAATGATCTCATCCTTAAACTATTTCTAAGGCTGCTTTTGAAGAGGTTGCATAGCCGTTATGTCCTCCCTTTACTGATCCTCTTCAACCTCTCTTCTTCTTCCTGTCCAGGCCGGCCTTTCCGAAGCAGAGCAAGAACAAATGAGGAAGATGCTGTACCAGAAAGAGTCCAACTATAACAGGCTACGCCGTGCCAAAATGGACAAGTCCATGTTTGTCAAAATCAAGACGCTGGGCATAGGTGCTTTTGGCGAAGTATGTCTTACACGTAAAGTCGACACTGGTGCACTTTATGCCATGAAAACACTGCGCAAGAAAGATGTCCTTAATCGTAACCAGGTGAGTTTATGCATTTTTATTGCTTTACTACACTCCTTTTGCCTTTTGAGTTCTGGCCTGTGCATTTTCACCAGGTGTATAAAAGTATTCACACATTTTTTTTCTATGTTTGTAGAACAGCGGTTCAACACATTTGTGTCTTTGTGGACACTACTGATTGTGATAAGATGTTATGCAACAGGCTAAATCAGGATTATCGTTACGCAGGTGGCTCACGTGAAGGCAGAGCGCGATATCCTGGCGGAAGCGGACAACGAGTGGGTGGTGCGTCTCTACTACTCCTTCCAAGACCGTGACAGCCTCTACTTCGTCATGGACTACATCCCCGGCGGAGACATGATGAGCTTGCTCATCCGAATGGGGGTCTTCCCCGAACTTCTGGCACGCTTCTATGTGGCAGAGCTGACACTAGCCATCGAGAGCGTACACAAGATGGGCTTTATTCACCGCGACATCAAGCCAGACAACATCCTCATTGACCTGGATGGACATATCAAGCTGACAGATTTTGGTTTGTGCACAGGCTTCCGCTGGACACACAACTCCAAGTACTACCAGAAGGGTGAGACACTTTTATCTGAATATACAGACATACAAATACATGCTCCCTCAACTACGAAGACACCGTGTGTGGATTTAGTGTGTTGATGTTTGTGACATGCACAAATACAGACATGCACACAATTTTCGTTGGACTCTTGTACAACTCATGCTTGGTGATTTCTAATAGAGAGAGTTCAGGTTTTGATTGTGTTTTCTCAAACATTGTGTTCAGGGGAAAATTAAATGAACATGTAGGTGCATTCAGACTTTACAGGTACCAAATTTGAGCAGTTGCCAAGAGTACTGTCAGTTGTCCAGGTTGTTAAATTTGAATTTCACCAGGCAATGTGGTATTATATCCTTCTCTTTGTGGGGTTTTAAAACATCTGCTCTCACCTTCTGTCTTCAGGGAGCCACATTAGACAAGACAGCATGGAGCCCAGTGATTTCTGGGACGATGTATCCAACTGCCGGTGTGGCGACCGGCTGATGACACTGGAGCAACGCGCCAACCGACAGCACCAACGCTGCTTGGCACACTCCCTGGTGGGGACGCCCAACTACATCGCCCCCGAGGTGCTCCTGCGCAAAGGTGTGTGAGAATAAAAAGCATAATTACTGCACAGTATCTGATGACTGACACACCTTTGATTGTACTGGATGTTGTGTTCTAAGAAAGCATTTAGACAGTTGACCTGATGTGCGTGTTGTGTGCAGGTTACACACAGCTGTGTGACTGGTGGAGTGTGGGAGTGATCCTGTTTGAGATGCTGGTGGGACAGCCGCCTTTCCTTGCCCCCACGCCCACTGAGACTCAGATTAAGGTCAGTGAAGAGGGAGGATGTCCCTGCTTTTATTTTGAATTTTAATTGGTGACCTAATGAGTCAGTGACTGGATCAGATCAGCTGCAGCAGACCAGGACAGTTAAACAGTGGCAGATTGCATTTGCTGTCCTTTAGACGTCAAATTAGGAGCTCTTCATTTCCTCCTTCTGTTCACTTTGCTTGACTCGGTAAGAGCAATTAAATTCAATGGCACAAAAAAATGACACAAAGACAAGTGGATGAAAATGCAGCCTAAACCATGAGTAGGAAATTCTGTGAACAATAGAGAAGAAGAATGAGATAGCATGGAATTACAGTCAACTTAGGTGACAGCAGCTGGAATCCAATTAAAAGTACATCCAGTAAATGAGCAGTCATTGAGTCTATTGCAGTACGGCCCACTGTATATATACAGCTGCACAGATGTTTTTGGAAACACAATAATCTGGCTGTAAACAATTTCACTATGAGGTTTACGCTATAGCTTTTCATGAGGTTCATCTGTTTTTCCACAATCTTATATACCTTTGGTTGTATTGTGGAAAAACACAATACAACGTGTTGTGTTTTTCTCAGCTACTGTTCTCAGCTCCAGAACAGTAGCTGAGTGGACCTTGTAGAGACGTTGTCTTACTCAGATCCTGTTGTCAGTGTAGATATTGACTTTAAAGCTGAAGTCAAAACTGTTGCATTGAATTTCTCCAATTATTAAGTATGTATACAAGAGCTGGGTCATATTTTACTGTTGATTTAACTTCATGCATTGTCTCGCGGCTCTGCAGGTCATTAACTGGGAGAGCACTCTGCAGGTGCCCGCCCAGGTCAAACTGAGCCCAGAGGCTGTCGATATCATCGGTCGCCTGTGTTGCTCTGCAGAGGATCGCCTGGGTGCCAATGGCGCTGGTGAGATCAAGGCTCACCCCTTCTTCTCCCAGGTGGATTTCTCTAGCAATCTGCGGCAGCAGCCGGCCCCCTACCGGCCCAAGATCGCCCACCCAATGGACACATCCAACTTTGACCCAGTGGAGGAGGAGAGTGGTCCCGGTGCATGGAGTGACAGCGGGGACAGCACCCGGGCTTTGGATGCTCTCTGCTCCCCTCATGGGAAGCACCCAGAGCACGCCTTCTATGAGTTTACCTTCCGCAGGTTCTTTGACGATAACGGCTGCCCCTTCCGCTACCCTAAACCGCTCGAGACAAGCGAGGTGTCGCTAAGCATACCTGGAGCCATCGGAATGGGCCCAGACGAGGAGGAGGAACAAGAAGAAGAGGACGAGGATGAGGAAGATGAAGAGGAAGAAGGAGAGCAGGAGGAGGGGTGTGAGCCCGTGTATGTGTAGAGCTGCATGCTGACAGTCTTCCTGAGTGGCTCGTGTCTCTTAGCTGCCCTTGTCATTCAGCTCACGACCCTCCCACCTATCACTTCTCTTCTCATGTATATGTAGAGGTGTGCATGTGTCTCTGTGATTGTTGAACTGCAAGAACAGGGTAGATGAACACTGCCCCCTTGTGGAATGCATATATACAAAACATCCCCCTCATCTGGGACCAAGAAACGGCAGGTGTGAGCACCCACATCGAGGGTGAAGCGTAGGTGGTCAGGAGAGCAGGACTCAGACACTGTACTGGTCGAAAGGAGATTCTGGTTCTTCCAGGAGCCTCTTGTCCCATTCCTTCCACCTTTGGTCTTACGGACAATTAAAACACCTCCACAGTGACCTTCAGACACAGGATCTACTTCCTGTTCTAACTGAGCTGCTTTACACTCAAATATTTGACACAGCAATGTGAAGAGTGGAACCAGTTTACTTGTTGATTGCGCCTGTTTTCACAGCTGCTGCAAAATAAGCTACAAAGACACGCACACGCACACACAGCTCAGTAGTGTAGGGATGTTGGATTTCAGGTTGATTTCAGTGTCTATATTGAGGTTTCAAGAGGTTGGCTCACACTAGGTGGACAAAGAAATTCTTCCAGAGTCCTTTGACACACACTCAGCCACAAAAAAAAGAGTTGCATTCTTGTGGTGTGAGAGAAAAATGTGTCCTTTTTTTTTTTTTGCAGCAGTTAGTTTTCAGAATCTTATATATCCACACCTGCCTCATTTTGTGCCAACTTCAGCTCAGTGTAATGTTTTGGAGCCTGATGCTTTTTAACTCAGTTTTCTGTTAGGTATATTCTTGTGTTGTTAAAATGCTTCCAATCACAGAGTTTCTGTCCTAACTTGGCTCTAAATTGAGCTCTAAAAGTCAAGCCAGGTTTAGTTTGCAGTAAATTCTTCTCTTGAGTTAGATCAGATGAAAGAAGCTCTTGTATTGAAATTATACTATCTGTTTACTGTGGGGCAGGTTGCTAGCACTTAACATATTTTCTCAGTCTTCAAGAGAATTAAGAGAACCCCCCTGATCTATACAGGATCTGTTGGGTCACATTAGGCTTAGTTAGTTGGGTTGGACTGAGAATCAAAGCTCCAAATACACACACATATTTACTAAGATGCACACTTGTACAGCTATTTAGCAAAGATCAGTCCGACAGTTGTAACTTTGTAAATTGTAACTTAACCAATCTCCTGTGATCTGGAGGATATCATGAAAGAAAAACAACAAAACAAAGCAACATGTCCTTACAACAGCCAAACATGTGATAGTATGACTATGTGCAATACAAAAAACATTATATATAGTTTTCTAAACACTTACTATCCTTTTAAAAATTTAGTTCTGAAATGTACAAATATATTGGTTTATATATATATATATATATATATATATATATATATATATATATTAGGGTGCACTGCTTTTCGTTACATCGATGCTGGCTTATTATTGTGTTTAATATTATTTACATTATTATTATAATTGTTATTACATGTTTTTTTTTGTGGTTGTGGTGAAAGAAGTGTCGACTTAAGTGTGTCTGGGGTTTGAAAGTAACGAGCTGAGTGCCTTTCTAACTGAATATCAGAGTGCGTGATGCCACTCGACGACGAGCGTGGGGGTGTGGATGATTCGAAGGTAGGCTCTTCTCCTGCTGCAGCCAGGCTGGCCCTGAGTGTAGAGGAGAGGAGTCAGAAGTGTTTCTGTTTCAGAGAGAGAGATGGAATCGAGTTAGGAGATGAAGAGCAGGGAGGAAAGTTGGCTTCGGGAAATTCAGAGGAAACAAAGAATATGAATATGAATAGCTTTCTCTATTTACAACTTCAACAAAGAGTTAGTGTTTTGGTACACGTTCTTTTATTTATCCAAAATGACCACAAGTTCAAGTGTTTGTGTGTATAACTCTGTACTTTTTACTACAGACCAGTGCCATGTTGTGTGTTGGACTGCTGCTCATCAGATGACGCTAACATCCAGTACATTCTTGCTTACAGACAATCAGCCAGCAATTCTGCCGAATTGAACTGTTTGGTAAATTAATCCCAAACTTTCCAGGAGTATTCTAAATTTCTCTCGATGACTGGGGACGCTGAAGAGGTCACAGCTTTCGAGCGATTCTGTGTGGATAAGATTTGTTACAGTTGATTTTTGTTGTTTTGCATTTTTTCCCTGTAAACGTGCCTTAACTAACACGAGCAACACAATGTTAAACGACTGCCTTCTTACTTTGGTCATAATTTTCAGAGACTTCTTATACCTGTTGTTATTCTTGATTGGGGGAAGGCAACAGAGCGTGCTCTATTTCACATCAGCACTTGCTGTGCTTACACACGACAGTCACTCTTTAATTTAGAATGAGCAGATCAGATTTTCAACTAAAAGTCAACAATCAACAGTGCAATATTACTGCAATATTATTAAAAAAATTAAAAAAAAATAGCAGTAATGCTGTTTTGCTAATCTAGAGCTTTGTTTATTGTAGATTTTATTTATTAATTTTTTTTAATGAATCAAATTTTAAATTGGAGTGCACGGATGGGTCAAGACCGTCTTTAACCATGATTTAAAAAAACATACAAAGATGACAATTACAAAGTTATTTACAACATGATCATACGCACAGTTTTGACATGTTAAGAATATTACAGTAATGGTCAATACACAGCATTCAGATAGCTTTTTTTCAGTTATTATTTTTTTGTAACTTTTTTAGTTGCTATGCATTGTTTTAGGAAAGGGAAACAGGGTTTTCACCACTGTACAGTGTTACATCTCAGGTGTTGTTTAAACTTCGGAAGCTGCTCCTTGGTTGTTTTTTTTGTTTTTCTTTCTCCAGACCGAAGTGGATAGTTCAAATTTCACATCAGATTTAATCATCTGTTGCATTGTTCAAAACATAGTTTAGCTATTTGTTATGACTGTGTCCAGTGGTGGTTTAAGGTAGAGTAGCAGCATTGTGTGTGTAAACACAGCCAAAGTTTTGTCTGCGAGCTGATAAAATGTGATCCATCACAGATGATGTGGTGATGCATCGCCTCACTGAGATTGTCACTGCTCTGTTGCTGTTTCCCCATTCATTTTGTTCTCTCTCAGCTGGTCCAGACATCTAACACTTCTCTAAATATCATTGACTGCATTGCCAATCCACACTGACCAGGATGAACTGCTCCTTTAACAAGAAAAGATAAAACAAAACAAAAAAAGCTTTATAATTACAGCCATGGCTCTCTGCTGAGTGTGTGAGTGCCACAAAGTGTGTGAGGTGTTTCTTGGATATGTTTCGTTTTTCTGTTTTTAAGGTTTGAGAGTAGTGACTGACAATCTTTGACTGACTTTGTCCTCTATTCTGATTTCTTCTCAAGACTTACTCATGTATCCTTTACATTTTGTGTTTTTACTCTACAAAGTCTTTGCTTGTCTTTAATGTGTGATAAAATTCTGTTACTCTTGAATTTATATTTATACAGATATACATATTTTTTTGTATCTTTTCTCCTTTTTCCCCCTCCCCCGAGTTCCCCTGTGCTAATGTTAAAACATGTCTACACAGTATTATAGATGATGTAATTTGGACAGCTCTCTCTTTTTTTTACATTTATGTATGAACTGAGAATTTGTAAATTCTTTCACTGTCCTTGTGTGTAAAATATATGTATAAATTAAATTAACCAGCTTGGATTCTCGTGAATTACTTTATAAAAGGAACATGACACAGAAGTTCCGTACTGATTGATAGAAACATGAATTCAAAAGTTTGTACAGTTTGACTTTGCTTAAAAAATGTATTAACTCCTGAAACTTAGTTTTTAAACTTGGTAGTTTAAAAGTTAGGGGGTTGATGTTACTTAAAAATAGGATAACATCATTGAAAGTTGCAATATTTTCAACACTTGAAAGAATCCTAATTGCTGTGCCTAACTTACCTACATTCTGACAGATGTTTGAATATAAGGAGCTCTTGCTTAACTCTTGCTTTAAAAATTTGATATGTAACATGTATGTAGCTTCTTACAGTTTGTTGTTATGTTGTTACAAAGAACAGGAGTATTTAGCTTCATGGCCACATATGGGCGAATTTGAGCTCAAGTCGAGTATACTGTCATTACAGGCAGATTATAGATCAGAGGGGAGAGGCAAAAAAAAAGGAACCAACAATGACTGTATTTTACATCTTTCTGATTTCTGTCTAGAAATACAATTCCCACCCGTGAAGTGAACAGCAATGCATTGTATTAATAAAGTAGAGTAATGACTTCACTTTGCTAAGCCTTACAATGGGCCAGTTTGAAACCTTTGGCATAGTGAAGACTACAGCATAAGTGCAATATAAGTGACATTTTAGTATTAATTGTATAATCTACACAATACTGACACTTATATAGCCATAATATAGCATAATCTTTAGGTTATTCTGAAAAATCTGCTATCAAATTGATCAGAAATATGACAGAAATGTAACCGTTATTGCAATAGTAAAGAACAAAAAACTTATTAGTAACTTATAAGTATACGTGTGTACGTTTAAACAAATGTTGATTTAAATTTTAAAAAATATCCAAGAATAACATTCATTTTCAGGTCGATTGTGGATGTATCTACTTCTAATCCATTCCCAACAACACCAATAATAATAATAATAACTGAATATGTTGCTGGCTGCACGAGCCGTCACAGTGGCAACCACAAACTTGTTGTGGTTACCTAACCCGCCGTGTGCACGCGACGGGTAACCAGCGCAGTAATCCCACAATGCAGAGCGCATGGCGCGTCATTGGAGAGGGACGATGATGGCGGCGGTCGGTGCACCAGAAGTGATCACACAGCTGGAAAGCGCTGCCAAAGTTTTAATGGTGAGACATTCACTGCCGGTCTGCGGCCCTGAGAAGGACGGTGAACGTATCTTAACTCAGTCTTGGGTGGAGTTAGGCGGTTGGGGGCTCCGGCGGGGGTCATTTTGGTCCCGGTTGTTGTTTTTTAATGTGTTCAGTTTTTACCGGAGAATGTGAGCGATGCGTGGCGCAGCGCCTGGGTTGTCTCCATCCCGCAGAGAGAAAAAAATAATCCGCTCTTTCTCCAAACATTTCTCCCGCTGTTCCCTGTCGTTCCTATCACAAGGCACCATCACCTTAAAATATTTCTCCGTGTTTGGACGCTTTCCAATGTGGCTCAGTTTTCCACAAACTTCAGCGGTTCGTGTCGGTGCCCTTTCAGCCGTTACATCAAGTTTTTTTTTTGTACTCTGAGCATCTCGGTGCGGTGTACTCGATATCACTGTTGCTAGCTTATCCCGTGCTTCCTCCAACACTCGCTCGCATCAAGTGTTTGACCCTCTGCCCTCCTCTCGTAACAGCTCCCGTTGCTACAAATTAGGCTGAATACTTCAGCTAAGAGCAAGTGGCTAACCATGTGCATGTCATGAGTCGGAGTGCTAGCTGCAGTCTGCTCGTACTTTCTGCCATCTTGTTAGGGTTTAAAACTAAAATCACCCTTTCTGATGTCATGCACAGTTAGGAGAACAATATGTTCTAGCAAACGCACAAGTCCTAAATGTTCATATTTCAGTCAGCAGCAGGTGTCTTCGTGATGTCTGCTTATCAAGCTCCTCTTGTTTTATGGATTCATGTACACACACACACACGCACGGGTCACTTGGCTAAGTACACGTTGCTAGTACCGAGTTGGACTCTCGTTATGCCTTAAGAACTTTTAATTATTCATGGAAAACATTCAGCAAGGTGCTGGAATAATTTCCTTTGGTAAATGTTGATACAAGGAACGACAGATCCATGCTTTCAAATTCTGACCGTACCATCCGAATGTCACAGCAGACTTTTGTTTTCCAATTCTGCTGCTGCTGCTGCTGTAGTCCATCTCCTTCAGGATTTGGTGTGATGTCCATTCAGAGACCTCATTATGAGTTATTGTGACTCTGCTCGACTTCCCTACTCTGACCTCTGACAACAACAAGGCATTTTCATCCAGAGAACTGGGGCTCACTGGATGTTTTGTCTTTTCCGGATCATTCTCTGTGAAACCTAGAGATGGCTGTGTGGGGAAAATGGCAGTAAATCAGCAGTTTCTGAAATACTCAGACCGGCCTGTCTGGCGCCAACAACCATATAACATTCAAAGTAATTTAAATCACCTTTTTTCCTGTCTGATGCATTGTTTCAACTTTAGCAGGTCCTGTTGACCATGGCCTAAGTGCAGCCAAGTTGTTGGCTGATTAGATATTCAGTTTTCCCTAATACTGTCTATATTAACACAGTGTGTGACAGTATGTTAACATTATGCTTATCAGGTTAATTTTTTTGGGACTAGTGCACTCTAGAATAGGAGTGTTATACATGCAGCCAGGGGAACCAGCCTACCGAGTGATCCATGTAGGTCCAATGGATGGCTTTTCTAAATGCGTGCAATGATGCAGCAGTATCTTTGGTTTTTCATTTAAATACAATACTACACCTTGTGAGGTGATGGTAACATTACTACGCAGTGAAACTCAAAAGAAAAATCTTTTGACCCAAAGAATAAAATTCTATTAAGATCCTAGAAATTATTTTTGTTTTGTTTTTAGTTACAAAAACTGAATATGAAGGTTTTGCCCTTTATAAAAGACATAACAGTCATTAAAAAAAAGTTAAGTCTAACACTCTTATCCTAGAAAGCAGAGCCCAGCTGATACTGGGTTTTGTTTTTGGTTTTTTTTGTCTAAATGTCAGGAGTGCAACCACACCTCATACCTTTCCGGTTCTATGACTAAATGCCTACATAATGTTTCTTGTCATTTTTGTGCCTCTCATTGATTCAGGCCTAAAATCAAAGCTTATTTCTCTTCTCTTTTAAAGATGTGTTGTTAGACTAATTGTGGATGTTGTCCCTGCTAATGAAGTGTATGTAATTTCACAAATTTGTTAGCAACTTCCGAGTTGGTTTGAATCCCCCAGTTGGCCGGGGTTTTCTGTGTGGAGACTGGGTATTCCGGCTTCATCCCACAGGTCAAAGACATTCATGCGTGCATGATAGCATAACTGGTGATTCTAAATTGTCTGTAGGTGGAAATGTGAGCGTGAATGATTGCCTGTCTCTCTGCAGTAGACTGGCGACCTGTTTAGGGTGTACCGTGCCTTTCACCCTATAGCAGTTGAGATATGCTTAACATGAAGACACAGCTTGACCCCACAACAGTGGTTGTCTGTGATACTACTCTGCTACATATGCTGCTGAGAATATAAACAGTACATTTCTAACATAGTATGATCTTGATTCTTATTGCTCTGCGTTTTATTTACTACGTGTCATTGTGGCAGCTTTATCTGTTTTACATTTATGTTTTACTATCAAGGGAGATGATAGATTGTATTATATTTTAGTGCATTGTCTGCCATCTGACCATGGTAGTTTATGTGGCTTAAAAAATGAAGTCTGTGTATGTGTACGCGTGTCTGCGCTCTCAGATAAAAAGGCCTTTCTTTCCTCTGCTGCCTTTCGCCGCAGAGCTGCTTTTACTGCAATTAGGTCTGGAATGTGACTTTCCTGCTGAGCTGTATCGTGGCGAGCATGCTCAATAGAAAGTTCTGTGTTGCACTATCTCACTTTTATTTCTGTGTATTTGGAGTTGTAAGATGTTTCATTCTTATGAAGCTTTCTGTCGTTATTTTGTGTGCTTCTGTAAGGTACAAAAACAGTATTTGCTGCCAAGTTTTACGATAGTATTGATTTTTATAACGAGACATTTCCTCTGTACAGTGTACATACTGTACTGTGTACTGTCTCCTATCTTAGTGATGCTTTCTGTCCTCGGGGCATTGCCATTGAGCTGAGTGAGTGGCTGCCAGTCAGGGCTCATCTTTCAGTTCTAATAGCACAGAAGCTGTTAGATGGTGGAATCGATTGACTGATTGATTACATTTAATAACAAAGAGAGAAACAAAAAAACACGACTCAATCCATTTGTGTAGTGTCCTGTCAAATATCTCAAATGTTTGCTATTAGCCATGTAAGTTCATACAGACTAGGATTTATTGATTTTAATATGAAAGTAAAATTAAAATTGGATAAAACAACACTTCACAAATACAAACAATAATCCTAACATCAGGTAGAATACAGATAATCATTCTACCATATTCCCTTTAAAATGTTTATTTCTATCGCATATCTTAGTAGTTTAAAACAATTTGTTTGCCTTTTATTTTCCTGGGCAACAAAACTGTACTTAAGACTTACTTATGCAAGTCTGTCTCTGAAATATTGCCTGAAATAAGGTCTGACCAACACTGCACAGTAACATAGCTGAACAACTTCTCCACCCCTCAGTGTCCTCACACTACTACTACACCCTATTCTGTTGTTTTCTAAGTGATGCAGCTGTCGCCTGTTTACAGCAGGTACTAAACAGCAACCAGGCAACTCACGGGGAACTTGTAAAACAATCCCAGACAAATTACACTGGCTCCCCATTCATTACATAATAAGATTTTATTGATTGCTTTTAAATAACTACATGGGGCGTCTCTCATTTTTATCGCAGAGCTCTTAACCCTTTAATCCTCAGTTTAAAAAAGGTTTTAGAAACCTCCCATACAGACCAGCTTTATTAGAACTAGTGTTGCAAATTTGCAAACCTGGTTTGAAAGCTGATGTAGAAGTAAATATACTTTTTATCAGCACTGTGCTAACAAGTTAAGCCATTCGAAAATTGCCATCTTCTGTTAAAGCTTTGAAAGTGGTATTTAATTCAAAGTCATTCAGTGGAGAAGAGTTGATGTCCTGTTTAGAAGCTGTGTATAAGTGGTTCGACCTCACTTGCAGAAAACTGACTTTGTTTTGTGTTTTACAGGCACCGCCGTCTATGGTCAGCACAGAGCAGAGACAGCATGCTGAACATGTATTCCTCTCCTTCAGGAAGTCCAAGTCCCCCTTTGCCATTTGCAAGCACATCTTGGGTAAGCATTGTATTTAATATTTTAACTTGCATATAGTTTTATAAATATGAGTTTATCTTATAAAGGCTACTCAGTGTCTTCTCCCCTTCATGTCATAAACCTTCACCTGTGGTGTTTGTGGGTATGATCTAGACATTTTAGTGATGTGGTCTGTATGTGGAGTCTCATGTGTACAGAATATTATTGTTGTTTGATCCGTGACTTATGTACTGTATGAAAACATGTGAGCTGTGCAGCTCTGAAAACAAAATATGAGTATTCATTGGCTTTTTGTTACAAACCCCATCAACAGAGATATGTGGACATTGTGTTAACTGTACAGTTTTACTGATTTGAACCTTATGTTTGATTGCTAATGGTACAGAGTCCACTGTAAATTTCGTGGCAATAACAGGTTGAAAAAATTGTCTGTGTTGTCTCATGTTAAAAGAAATCCCCATGTGTAACTGACTACCAGGTAGGGTTAAATGGTTACATAATTGCCTATAGAAAGTGTCTCTCACAAATATGAATGGAGAAAGTTCCCCATTGTGTGAGCAGCTGCATAGTTCAGCAATTAAAATGTACACGTTAAAAAAAATCTAGTCCTGAATAGACGCTGGGATGGCATTGCGTTGAAAGCAAACCTGATTTTGTGGTTAAAGATGACTGTGTGGGCTCAGGATGATGTCGGACAGCACTGTTCACCGATGCATCAGTAACGCAAGTTACATTTTTCATGATATTGGTGGACCTTTATCTATTAACATCCTCCTGAGCTCAGTACAAGGGAGACTGGGCTAAAGATAAATCAAAAACTGAAATTTGAAACTTTCTGAAAATATTTGAGGCTAAAGAGGAGAAACTTGCATCTTGGTCACAGTCAGTCACATGGAAGCAACTTAGGCTACGTTCACACTGCAGGTCTTAATGCTCAATTCTGATTTTTTTTTTTTATCAAATCCGATTTTTTTTGGCTGCTTGTTCACACTACAAATAAAATGTGACAGCAAACGCCCTCTAGTGTGAACGCTCAAAGCGGCCGCATGCGCAGAAGAAGACGTCACACACAACGCGCTCTGTTCAGACCCAGACAAAACAGTATTGTTTGACTGATGGCCTTAATATAAAGACTTGTTTCGGACTTTGTTTCCCAGTTTTGCTTTAAGTTATAAAGTTATTTTGTTATTTACATATGACCTAATAATTATCCTTATGGCTGTTTTAGAGGAGCGGTGCTTCCAAGGATAGTTGCAGATTTCTGTCAGAATCTGCAGATTATAGAGTTCAAAGAAAATGTTCACGTTTCTCCATCGTTGTCTTCCCAACAGTTTCGCTGACATCTACACTGGATGGCCAGGAAGCGTTCACAATGTCTTCAATGTCATTATGTTAAATATTATTATTTAACCCATTATTTTCAACCTTTTTTTTCCCCCACTATCTTTTTCACTTCTAATATTTCTCTTTTGTCCCGTTATTTTTTTTCCCTCTCCAGAGACCAGTAAGGTGGACTATGTGCTTTTCCAGGCAGCCACAGCCATCATGGAGGCTGTCGTGCGGGAGTGGATCCTGCTGGAAAAGACCAGCATCGAGTCACTCCGGGCATTCCTTCTCACCTACGTTTTGCAGAGACCCAAGTAAGAAACAATAATAAATGCATTACAAAACCTTTGTGGTTTACTATATTATTAAATATGTAGAGCTTTTACAGACCTCACTACAAAAATGCCAGTAGAACTTAATGTTTTGGATGCGGGAAAAATAAATCAGAATGCCTTCCTGTTCCTTCTAGTCTGCAGAAGTATGTGCGTGAGCAGATCCTGCTAGCTGTGGCGGTCATCGTGAAGAGAGGCTCGCTGGACAAAAGCATCAACTGCAAAAGCATCTTACTCGAGGTCGGACAGCTCATCAGCAGCGGGAACCCTGCAGTGGTGAGAGAGACGCAGCTGAATAATACATGAGTAGCTCTCCGTGGCCTAAAGAGTACGTGTTGTTAGTTACAATGTACACAAAATCAGTCATCATCATCAGGTTAAGCAAGAGAGGGAAAAAGGTTTTTGTCTTTGTTCGTTTATTTTTAAATATGAGGATTTTTAGGTTTCATTCATCATACATTTGCACAGATAAATTGAAAAGAAACAACAGTTGAGACATTATGGCTCCAAGACTTCACATTTATACACTGTCAGAATAATTGAGTAATTGCCCAAAAAGATGGGAGAAGTTATCCAGACTTTGCAAATGTGCACAATTAATGGAAAGTATTGAGTAACTTCTTGTTAGTAAAACTGGATTAAAGCTTTGATTCGTATCTGTTATATTTGGGGCTTGGTGAGCCTCACTGGCTCCCTGGTTCAGATCTGGCTCAGATTACAACGCAGTTGGAAAACAAAAAAAGAGAGAAAGAAATGGCACAAAGGCTATGTTGAGAAAGCAGCTTCAGGCATGTTCTTGCGGTTAAAAGAAAGGACATCGAGGACCTGTGCTTTGATTATTATGAGAGAAAAAAGGGAAAAAAAACATACCAGGGTATAAAATTAATGCCAGAGTACTTGTGCGCCTTACCACATTTGCTCATTAAATGCAAAATAATTGTCTCCCATATGTAAAAAATATTAGGTGTGAATGTGAGTGTGAATGGTTGTCTGTCCCTATGTGTTAGCCCTGCGACAGACTGGCGACCTGTCTAGGGTGTACCCCGCCTTTCGCCCTATGACAGTTGGGATAGGCTCCAGCGCCCCCCGCGCGACCCTGAAAAGGATAAGCGGAAGCGAATGGATGGATGAATGGATGGATGTAAAAAATATAATCATATGACTTCAGCATGCTGCTCTGAAAAGAAATCCTAATCCAGTAGGTGGCACTACTTCATTTGTTTCTCATACGAGAAGGCAACTATGTTGTGTAAATGGCTAAAAGTGCTTTTTCCCCCCCCCTACAAATCAGACTGAATTTTACTGATCATGCACAAAATTATTTGTTGTTGTTTGGACTGAAATCCCCCAAATGGTCACCTTCTGATGACACCATGTTCCCCCAGTCTTTTGAATCTGGCCCTAAAGCCCTTTTTTGGTTATGACGTCTTCGTCAGACGTTGAAGTTGAACACTGTAAAATGTCAATAAAAACTGAATCTAATAAACCAATATTTTATTCACAAGGGAGCACAAAATAAGGATGGGACAGGACCATGTTTCTCACTGTGTAGCAACAACATTGTGTAGCAGCAACATTGTGTAAACATCTGGGAACTGACCCACTGCTGGACCTCTGGGAGAAGAATGCTGTCCCATTCTTGCCAGATAAAGGATTGTAGCTGTTCACAGTCCTGGGTCTTTGATGTATTTTTCATTGAATTATGTACCAAATTGTTTTTATAATTGGTAAAAGGTCTGCACAGGCCACTTCAGCGGCTGAACTCTTCCACTGTGAAGCCATGCTCTTGTTATAGATGCAGTATGTGGTTTAGGAAATATTCAAGGCCTTCCCTGAAAAAGGCCTCATCTCAATGGGAGCATATGCTCCAAAGATCACAGGCATCGAGTGTCGATATTTGGCCTTGTCCTTTGCACGCAGAGATTTCTCCAGATTTTTGGAATCTTTTAATATTATCTTCACAAGTTTACCTCAAGGACTTTCTTTCATAAACTATTCCACTGTTTGTAGTGGGAGTTTTTTGCAGACTGGTAAACCTTTACCTCTGAGACACTCCTTAAGATTCTCTTTTTATACCTAATCATGTTATTGACCTGTTGCCAGTTTACCTAATTAGCTGCCAAATAATCCCCCAGCTATTTCTCTTTGGTACCACTTTTGCTGCCCAATTCCAACTTTTTTGAGAGCTTTTGTTACCATCAAATTCGAAATGAGTTAATATTTTTCTTAATGATAGATTTTCTCTGTTTAATAATTTTCTGTGCTCTATTGTGAATAAAAGGTGAGCTTATGAGAATTGCAAATCATTGCTGTTTTTATTTACATTTTTACAGCATCCTAAATTTTTTTTAATTGAAATTTGTGCAGTGTTTTAAATATTGAATTTCAAAATCAATAATTAGTTGTTGAGACATATTAATCAAGCAACTCTTATTCAGATTCTTTTTTCTTTTTTTTTTTTAAATCATTGTTTATCTTTTGGATGAACAAGAAATTTAAGGATATAATGGGTTGATTTGTCCTTTTTATATCCAGTGATGACTGGATATCTTGCTGGTCCATAGACAAGCTCATACAAAAGGGAAAAAAAATGTTTTCTAATTTTTTGTTTTCTCTGCTGTCCAGTTAGTGCTCCTGTTACCAACCACAACTTGTTTTTGTTTCGCTTCTTCTCCGATTTGTGTATAGCGGGACATTCATCAATAGCACGCTCTAAAACATATACACTTACGGATGTTTTTCACTGTTAAAGTTGCAGTTGCTCATAATAAACATGTCCTCAGTTTTAAACAATGAGATCAGTGTGTATACATGTAATTCCTGTAAACCAAAGCTCAGGCTTCAGATAGGATGCTGCGCTTTGGCTGTCGGCAAAGCTTCTCCAACCACTTCTAAAATCTTTTGTTTGAAAAGTGCAGCCAATCAGAACACAGGTGCTTTATTTGGAGCGGTGAGCTGCATTAAGAATAAGGAAACTGTAAATCATGTAAAGTTACTCTAATAGACTCCAAGAATAAAAAAGTGCAGATGGGGATAACTGTAACATGCGCCCTTTAATCATCTGTGTTTGCAGTTAGCAGACGGTCTTTTCACGTGAGGCCTCAAGAGGTTTCCTTCTTTCCGGCTTGTGACAAATAATCTTCGAAAAAGATGGATGTTAGTGTAACTTTTTATGTAACCATTGACCTCCACAATCACACAATCATTCTCTTCTGCAGCAAACGCTGGCCTGCTCCATCCTGACCGCTCTGCTCAGTGAGTTCTCCAGCTCCAGTAAGACCAGCAGCATCGGCCTCAGCATGGAGTTCCACGGTAACTGCAAGCGACTGTTCCAGGTTTGTCCCCCGCTGTCCCACCTGTCCTCTACGCTCTCCTGACGTATTTTATTTATTTATTTATTTATTTATTTATTGCTCTTTAACTCATGCATCCATCTGTTCTTCCATCCACTTCTTCTAGGAGGACGGCCTCCGCCAGATCTTCATGATGACCATGGAGGTGCTGCAGGAGTTCAGCCGCCGAGAAAACCTCAATGCCCAGATGTCTTCTGTCTTCCAGCGCTACTTGGCTTTGGCCAATCACGTCCTCAGCTGGAACTTCCTGCCTCCCAATTATATCCTTTCTTTCTAAGAGACCAAGAGGTTTGATGCGAGGCTGGAAAGTCCACAATCAAAAAATTAAATTTTTAAGTCTTGACACATGAAGGTCAGGAGGACAAAAACAGGCCCATCCAGCTACACTATTGAGCTTACAGTCAAACTACACTCTTTGTTTTGTCTTTGGTAACCTCGTTACATGTTTGATAGGATAGAGTAATAAGGTCTAGGAAGTCATATTTGTAGTGTTGATCATCACTTCAGCTGGTTATGATAATATTTAACATTTTATGTCAGTTTATGAGCTGAAATCTGAAAACATTGTTAGACGCAACTTGAGTGCAAGAGTTTTGGCAATAACTGCGAAAGTTAAACAGTATTACGATGTTATATATATAAAAAGTGTGCGTTTACGTGGTTGTCTGCTTTGTTTTTTGCAGACCTTCCCTCTTTTATTTTATTTACCCAAATATTTTTAGTCGACTTTGTTTGTAAGCATCCTTTTTCTGAAGGTTATGGGTTTTAGGAGGAGACTGAGGGGAATGTCCTCATAAGTGTAGGTTTTTATTTGTGTGTACTTCTATGTGTTTTTAGTGTAAATAGAGCCTCACTATGGCCACCCTAATTGGTATTAGTTTGTGACTATGCTGGTATGCATTGGCCAGGAATTCATATCAGTCTATCAGTTTTGCTTTGTTGTTCATCTCTTTTGCACACATCCGTGTTATCTTTGCAGTTGGCTGCATTGTTGAGTCGACTTAGCCACTTAGAGTGTGTGTGTGCATGTGTGTGTGTCTTAGTGTGTGCGCAGCCATGCTCATTAAAGTCTAAATCCCAACTGCTTGGCATCCTCTCTGCCTGTCTGAGGGGATCTGGAGTGGCGCTTGCTGCCAGCCAGGGCAGTGTATCATTTTCAAAGAGGTGTCTGTATGTCCATCCCCCGTATCATTCCAATACACCACCACCCCCGGCTCAGCTTGTCGAGGCTCCCCTTGGTATGCCCAGCTCGCTCGAAGCAATACGCGTGCGCTCTCAACGATACACTTTTAAGTCTTCTGTTTGTGCGAGCACAGTCAATTTTTAGACAACAGTTGAATTTGAATTTAGTGTCGGGTGTCTATACGAAGCCTCCAGAGCAGTTGCTGTACGTGTGAGGGACCTATTAGGTCGAGATAATGTGACTGGGAGCTTACAACTAATAGAAAATAACTGATGATTAAATATAAATTCCATTGTGTAATTAGAAGTCTAGATTGCTTGCAGTGCACATACCAGGCTTCTGCATCTGTTACGTGTAATAGCAGGATAAACTGACAATTGCTGGACCACAGCGTAGCATGACCACATTCAGTACAGGCATGTTAACAATAAGACTGCTTATGCTAGCACTCATATTGTTAGCTACACTGATCATTTTCTTCCTTAGTTTGGGAAGCTCATAACTTCTTCCACAGCTTATTGCAGGCCCTGATGACTCTTGTCACGGGAGCAGACCATCAGCACGTCAGTGGGCTAAATGTAGATCCAGAAGTGTTGCTGTGTTTACTCTTCTATCAACAAATAGTCTATATTTGTTGTTTGTGCTGGCTGGCTCTCTTCTGTCAACAGGACTAAACCCAAAATACTTAAAGTTTACTATTTACGTTTCATTTGCGACTTGCAGCCCCATGTTTCACAGCTCACTGAGCTCAGCTGGATGTTCCTTCATCAGAAGCTGCGCTTAGGTGGTGTTTTTGTGCAGTGCACTACAATATATCATCTCACGATGGCACATCAGTGTCATCTTATCGGAACAAGAAGCATTCTATCTATATACCATTTTATAGCTTGATACCACGCAAGCCTTCTAACCAGACTCTATTTATAAATGCAAATGTCTTATTTTTTTAACTAGATTTCCAGATGATATTATATTATATATATTTATTCATCTTCGCACACCCTGACTTTAATAGAATTTTAATCTTTTGTTTATTCAGAAGAGGTGAATCTTGAAAATTGTACAGTCAATCCTATGAGCCTGTACATTGCACATGACAAATGTAATCACTTTTATAGTTGATATTTTAATGTGTAATGTTATTTTAAATTGAACTGCAACCATAAGAGCAGGTAGTGCTTCAGTTAGCTTGAATGACTGAGAAGCAAAGATAACTGCATCATTTATATTTAAATCGCTGTATAAGCTGGATGCAAATAGAGCTGTAGTTCTCTGGTTTCTTGATGTTGAGTTGTCATAAATGTTCAGTGGACTGTCTTCGGCCATAAAAATAACATTTAAATTCTTAATTCAAGTGGTATTCTCCTTGATGTCCATGTGAGCGTATGTGACGTCTTCAAGTGTCTGTTGTTGAAAAGGGGAACAGATTGATGAAGACCACTGGGAGGCCCGGATAAGTGCGGTCGCCTGTCTGCAAGTGTCACAACACGCCTGTGCTGCTGCGTGGCGACGAACGTATGCCAGTGTGGTTATCAGGGGGCCTCTCGTTAATTGCATGGCTGACAGCAACTACCTTTCACACGAACACACACACACAAGCGCGCACGCATTTCTCTCCTAGTTCAAAAGAGCCTTTTTAAAAAGCCTCCCTCCCTCAGATGAACCGAGCGGCATGCATGTCATCTGTCCTCGCCGCCGTCTGAAGCTCAGCCCTTTGGCTCTGGTGTCATCTGGTGGAGACACGCTCCCCAGGCATTGGTAGGACACTGTCACTCCACACTGAGCTTGACTCTTGCCAGGGCCGCATTCGAGCCTTGAGGCTGTGGCGGCAGTCAGGTGCTGTAAATGGCTGTCTGAGCTAACAGATGGATAAGCCTCCATCCCTGCGTGTTTGTTTTATGTAGATTTTTTTCCCTTATGATTTGGTTGTCTCTGCAATCAGTCTAAGTTAGTCTTTTCTCTGTAGCGGTTCATACTTTTATTTTTTTACCCATCTGTTTTTTTCCTCAGTCAAGAGGAATGTGTAGATTTCACGGCGTATCAGCTCCCTGAATGTCAAGTTGTTTCAAGTTAAAGCACGGCTTTCTGTGCCTCTGCCACTGAGACGGTGTCTAAATTGCGATGTCACTTGGCCTGTTTACTAGGGGTGCAACGATACACAAAATTCTCGGTTCGGTTCGATACTTTGGTGTCACGGTTCGATGTTTTTTCGATACAAAAAAATGTTCATGCTTTTTTAATTTGTCATTTATTAAAATTATAAATATATATTTTAACTCAAAAGTACAGTTTTTAAATTTAATGTTGCTGAAACAACAAAGTAATAAAATAATAAATCTATCTGATCGAGAAATCACTCATCTTTGGAAAAGAGTTTATTACAGAGAAATGGCTCTTTCCAAAATAAAAGCTATACTATACGCTTCTTCTGGGCTATATTCTCAGCAGCATATTAAACATATCAGGTCCCCATAAGGAGAATCATGTGCTAACGGCTGTCTAAATGACTCGGGTAAAGTTTGTAGCATGCGTGCTTGTTGTTTTTGTCTGCTTCCACTTGTCTTTGCACTCGGATGCTGTCGGAGTAAATGCGCAGTCATATTCATTGTGTTCCCACTAGTGGCGTTAACGTCATTTCAACGAGATTAACGCTGACAGCACAACGCGGCAAATCTCCGTTAACGAGCTACCGCGGATCGCCCGTCCGTGGGGCTGGATGGCGTCAACACGTTAACGAGCTAACTGCGCTAACACACTAGCTCCCACCCATGTAATTGAGCATTGCGTGGCACATCCAACATACTGTTTTACTTTAGTCCAAGACGCGCTTACCTTCAGGGTCATACGTCACATGAAAACCAAAATAATTCCAAACGCCAGATCTGAATGAGGGTGGGGGAGGTTCAATTTGCTATGTTGCAAGGAGAGCTTAACTTCTGTCTCGCTAGCTTGCCCTGCGCTCAGTGAATCTGCGTTCGACTACTCCGCCTAGGCTGCACTGTCGAGCGCAGATCCACTGAGCTCTCAACACAGACAGCATCGTCAGAAGGAAAGTTGATAAAATAAATTAAAAATGTTGTATTGTTCGATACATATGCGTACCGAACCGAAAGCACTGTATCGAACGGTTCAATATCGATATGAGCATCGTTGCACCCCTACTGTTTACACGTTTGTGAAGCTTAATAAAACTGGCATTAACTTCTCTGAGAAATAATTGCCCCCAGCTGCCTGAATAGGAGTTATTCTTGTACTGAAGAGACAGTCGTCTCTGCGTGGCTCGCTATTTTCTCGTCTTTAAGGATCAGTCTGTAGGCATTTTGACCCTCAGGTTAAGGTTAGGATTAGGAGCGTGTAAGCTGATGCTGGATGTTTGCCTTGGCCCTGACCTGTATGGCGAATCTTTAGCGACTACTGTCTAAACACAGGTGGGAGGGAGAATACAGATGCAGCATATGCCGATGGACATTTAGTCAGCTAGTGCATTTTTCAAGGCTGTGAGAGATTTCAAGTATATTCTGTTTCTAATTCTAATCATTTCACTTCTTGCTGTGCGTCATCGATGAAATTAATTAATTAAATTAATATACAACCAACTTTCATAGCCTTGTCCACACAGTATTACTTCCTGATCTTGAAAAAGCAAGCTGACGTTGAGCACAGTGGTGTAATTACTGTGTTACTGCTTTAATCCAGTAGAGGGAGAATTAATGACAACTGCTGTGTAAACTGATGGGGGGGCCAAACAGTAGAGGAATATTGGGGTAAAGAAAGGGAGGGGGTGGCATCGCTGAGGAAGTATTCCTGGACTGTTATTTCACATGGCAAGGCTGCAGGGGAGTCTTAAGACAGGATATATCACTTAAACCCTACCACGTGCCTTAGCATAGCGCTGCGGTCTTCACACAGCCACTGGCAGACTCTCATCCAGTCTTCCTGTGCAGCGGGCCCATCCTTAGTCTGGATCAACAATAATGAATAGAGGATACAGGAGAAGCTTGCTAATCCAGGATCCTCCAGCATCAAGGTTGTCTAGGCTTGCAAAACGTTGATTGCTGAGATGGACTGATTGTTGGC